GGGCATGGGCCAAATCCAGGTAACCACCTGTTTTTGTAAATAAAGTTTTATTGGAATACAGCCATGCACATTCATTTACCTATTGTCTATGGCTGCCTTTTTGCTTCAAAAGCACAGCTGAGTAGTTATAACAGAAACTTTGTAGCCCAGAAAGCCTAAAATAGTCACAACTGGTCCTTTATAGAAAAAACATTTCTGACCCCTGTTTTAGTAAGTACCTACTTCTCATGTCGCAGATGCTACCATAAATGGATGCTACCATGGTCAGGACCTCTGCCAGGATTCTTAGGATACAAGCAGGCAGGATGACAGCCACAGTTCCACAAAGCTCTAATGAAACAGCAAGAAGAAATTCAACACCCAAGAAAGTATTGAATCCTTTCTTCTCTAGGGTGAATGACAATGACTCTGGCAGTCAAAATGCATATAATTATATTTGAAAGCTGTCCTAAAATGTCAAATTATATTTGAAAATGTCCTAAAATTCTCCGAGTAAATTAATCTATAAAGGATTTTGAAAAAGAAATTAATCTATCTTTCTACTGCAAAGTTCTTAACAATATTTTGGGGAGATACCATATGCCTAGATGGGATACTTTCTGCTCAGTTTTAAAATTCAACATTCCAAGGGTGCCTGGGTGGCTCAGTCAGGTAAGCGTCTGCCTTCAGCTCAGAGTCCTGGGATCATGGTCTCGGGGTCCTGGGATGGAACCCTGCATCAGACTCCCTGGTCAGTGGGGAGTCTGCTTCTCTCCATCTCTCTGCCCCTCCCCCCACTCATGCTTGCTCTCTCTCTCTCTATCTCAAATAAATAAAATCTTTAAAAATAAATAAAATAAAATTCAACATTCCAAAGGAACTCATAAGCCTTTTTTCTTTCATTTCTCAAAACAAATACTTAAGAAAGATGAAGGCAATACCTATTTGTGAACCTTTTGTTCAGGATAGATATATATATATATATAATCAGTCATCAGGCTAACTTGAAAGATTAAGACAATAGCAAAGTAAATTGATCATTTATAAAATATTTTCAGCTATGATGGTCTATTTGAGCAACAAGAACAAAACACTGGCAAATTGATTCAACTATTCAACAATTCATTCAACAATTGAGTCAACAATTCAACTATTAGGATTAACAACCCTGATACTTTTAAACAGTAATAAATAATGTAACTTAATAATGAAAAGACAGTTGTCTTAGTCCATGCCAGCTACTATAACAAAAATCCCATAGATGGGGGGAGAGGGGGCTTATCAAAAACATACATTTATGTTTCACAGTTCTGGAGGCCCAGATGTCCAAGATTAAGGGGCTGGCAGATTTGGTGTCTGGGAGAGCCAATTTCCCGGTTGATAGACAGCCGGCTTCTTACTGTACCTTCACCTAGCAGAGGGGGCCAGAGATTTCTTTAGGATCTCTTTTATAAGGGCAATAATCCCCTCATGACCAAATCACCTCCCAAGTGCCCCACCTCCAAATACCATCACACTGGGGATTAAGTTTCAACATATAAATGTGGGGGGACACATTCAGTCTATCATATTCCACCCTTGTCCCCCAAAATTCATGTCCTTCTTGTATGCAAAATATATTCATTCCATCTGAATAGCCCCCAAATTCTTAACTGGTTCCAGCATCAACATTAAAGTCTAGGTCCAAAGTCCAATCTAAATATCGCCTAAATTCATACAATTCATCCTGAGGCAATCTGCTCTCCAACTGTGAACCTGCCTGATCAAAGCTGTTTCGTGCTTCTGAAATACAACGGTGAGACAGACACAGGACAGGCAATCCCGTTCCAGATGGGAGAAAGAGGAAAGAAGAAAGGAGTAACAAGTCCCAAGCAAGTCCAAAACCCAAGGGGGCAAATTCCCTTAGACCGAAGAGGAATAATCCTCTTTGGCTTGATGCTCTGGCTCTCCAGACTCAATGGGACCGTGCTCCTGCCTGCAGCTTTGCTGGGTAATGTTGAGGCCCCAAGGCTCCTGGTTGCCCTGCCCCCACAGCTTTGGGCAGCCCTGTCCCCCCTGTGGCTCTCCAGGGTTAGGGCCTGGGATCCTGGCTCTGCTGGGAGGTCTGGTCCTTTGAAATCAAGATGGAGGCAGCCACACCCCTGCAGCTCCCTGGGCACAGCCCGCGCCTCATCCGGGTGCTGGAGCAGCCCCTGGGGCAGCCGAGGAGAGAGTGCGAGACCACCCAGAGAGGTGGTGGCTGGAGGGTCGGGCACAGGCATCCCCTCCTTTCCCTTCTCCCATTGCCTTGGAAAATAGTTCCTGGCTTCTGTGAGATGGCGGACTAGTCTCATTATCAAATGGTCTCTTGGCCACACCCTTAGTGTTCTCTCCTGAAGACTTTCTCTTTCTCTTCAAGACTAGCCGAAAATTTTCCAAATCTTTAAGTTCTGTGCTCTGCTTTCTTTCCAATTAACAATTCCATCTTTAAGTCATTTCTCCTTTCTCACATTTTACCACAAGCAGGCGAGAGAAACCAGGCCACTCCTTCCACACTTTGCTTCGAAATAACTTCAGCTAAATATCTAATTTCATTGCTTGCAAGTGCTACCTTCCACAAACACGAGAACACGAACACAGTTCGGCCAAGTTTTGGTGTGGTTTTTTTTTGTTGTTTTTTGTTTTTTGCCACTTTATACCAAGCATGGCTTGTCCTCCAGTTTCCAATAACATGTTCTTCATTTCTGTCCGAGACCCATCCTTCACCATCCGCAGTCCACCACCTTTCTGTTCGGGATCACCGTTCTCTGAGCAGATGAGGCTTTCTCTACAACCCTCCTCTTCCCTTTCTAAGCTCGCACCACAAACACCTTGAAAAGTCCCCTCACGGCAATGTAGGCTCCTCCCAGCACACACCTCCCTGTTCTTCCGGTCCCTGCCCGCCACCCGGTTCCAAAGCCACCTCCACCATCTCATGCATTTGTCAGAGCAGCACCCCCACTTCCCAGTGCCCGTTTTCGTCAGAGTCAGTTGGGGCTGCTTAAAGAAAGTACCAGACACTGGTGGCTTATAAACAACAGAAACTTACTTCTCACAGTTCTGGAGGCTAGAAATCCAGATCCAGGCTAGAAATCTGGAGGCTGCCTTTTCTGGGTGGCAGATTTCTTTTTTTTTTTTTTTTCCATTCAATGTGTGCCCTCTTTAATACCCATCACCAGGCTAACCCATCCCTCCACCCCCCTCCCCTCTAGAACCCTCAGTTTGTTTCTCAGAATCCATAGTCTCTCATGGTTCGTCTCCCCCTCCGAGTTCTCCCCCTTCATTTTTCCCTTCCTACTATCTTCTCTTTTTTTTTTTTAACATATAATGTAGTATCTGTTTCAGGGGTACAGGTCTGTGATTCATCAGTCTTACACAATTCACAGCGCTCACCGTAGCACATACCCTCCCAATGTCCATCACCCAGCCACCCCATATCCTCCCAGGGCAGGCAGCAAGCTCTCTCCTGACTCTATTAAGGGCTCTAATCCCTTTCATCAGGGCTCCTCTCCCCTGACGTAAGCACCTGCCAAAGGCCCCACCAGCAGATACCATCATATCGGACATGAGGTTTCACCTTCAATGAGGTGAATTTAGGGGGGGGCACAAACATTCAGTCTACAGGAGTCGTCCTCTCTGACTTCCTGAAATTATGAATGGGGATAATGCAGCCAAGTGAGAGGGGTATAAATTTCCAGTGACTCTAACAAAATGATGCTTAGACCTTGGCAAGGTTTTCTATTCATTCATTCATTCATTCATTCATTCAGTTGGTCACTCAACAAGTATTTTATTGAGCACCTACAACATGCCAGGCTGCCTTCCAGGAGCTGGGAAGACAGTTTTGTGGAGCTAACATCCCAGCGGGGCATACAATACAATACAGGTTCATATCCGGTCCGGAAAAACAAAGCCAGAACATAAGCCACAGAACTAAAAGAAGTCAGACGATGCAGACAAGAGCATTAAGAATCTTGCAAGAAGGATCTCATCTAGGCAAACCCTTGTGCATACTCTTGTCTGCGCCCTTGTTTCCTGGATTTCCCCTGTGAAATCCCTCTCTCGGAAAAGCTTCCAACCAACTCGGTCGCACTCAGATACGAAAGCCTGACCTACCATCCCTCTCAGAAGTGTCTGCATTTTGTGGCTTGCAGAGAGGAGGAGCTCTAGGTAGCAGAAAGGGGTTTTAGGGACATACTCAGAGTCACCTCATGCATCTGCTTCTAAGGAAGCATTTATCATGCACCTGTTCTGGTTCAGCTTGTTTCGGCAGCAGCGAATAGTTCATCTGCCACAAAACCCACAGAGCCTGAAGGGAGGTGTGCCTGATACTGTCCGTGTGTCCCCCACCCCCGTGTTCTGTCCACCCTTCTCCATCCAGCCCTGTTGCCTTGGAGGCTGGCCTCTGAGGACCAGACCAAGGGATTCTTGTCTTCTTTTGGTTGGGCTCAGCTCAAGGGAGTCCCCAGCGGGAAATGGAGGAGGGGAGGAAAGAGAGGGCCAGCTCTTAATTTCCCTGCTCCCTCCCTGCCTGGCTGCTGGTTGCCTGGGGCTACGTCCTCCTAGCAAAGATCAGGGCTCCCCATCGGGGCTCCTCTTGCATATAGCTACAGCTAAGGCTCTAGCTAGCTCTCTCTGTAACCATCAGTACCCGCGGCCCCTGAAAGTGCCCCTAGAGGGGGTCAAAGCTCCATGCTGGTGCTCCACCACTCCCGGGTGGGTAGTCTTCTCAGTGCCCTCTCCCTCGGGGTCCCATCCTCAAGGACACAGCCAGCAACACCAGCGATGCTCTCGGGTCGGACCCTGACTCTGGGCACCAGCTTCATTTTTAAGCTCCAAGGGCTTAGGAGGGACAGGAGGACTGGTGAACATTCTATAAATGGTGCTCCCTTCTCAAGATTAGCGGTGACTCTCCTCCAAAGAGAACCAAACTCGGGGCGATGCCTGGAGTGCCCCCAGCCCCTTGTGCAGAGAAGCAAAGCCTCTGAACGGCCATGGCTTACCTTTCTGTGTTCATTGGAGGGCTGTGAGCAGACGAGCTGGAGTCCAAGCAGCAGGAGGGAACCCAGGACGCTGAGAAGGAAAAACAGCAACAGGCAGGGCCGTGAGTGCGGGCAACAGCACCCAGTCAAAGGCAGCAGCTCTGCCTCATCCCCAGAAGGGAGAGAAGAGCCCAACCCCCTCCCCGGGATGTGACCCAGCCAAGGTGCCAAGGGCCAGCCTCAAGGCAGGGGAGGCAGCCCAGGGCTGTGCGCTTGGCCAAGGCAGGGGGCAGATCTGGGATCAAACCCTTTACCACTCACCAGCAGGGTTTCTAGGTCAGGATGTGTAACCTCAGAAGCCCCAGTCTCCTCCCGGGTAAGAGGGGGACAACAACAGAAGCTGGCTCAGAGGTTTGGGGAGGACAGACACAGAGAAAGTGCTAGTGCATGCTTGGTCCTGGTGGAGCTGGTCAGGTCCGGCTAAAAGTGGGGCTCTGAGCCTGGCCAGGGAAGCTCCTCTCCTACACCCCATGCTTCCCTTGGAGTCTTCCCTCTGCCCATTCTTGGCCCTCTCGTGTCACAGATGTTCTCCATGGGTGGGATTAGCTGTGTTAAGCCCTACTGTCACCAGCCCTGATTAGGACTTGTCATCAAATAAAGGGAAGGTAAGGAAGAGGAGCCAGCTGGCCCTGAGACAGCAGGGTGTGCTGGGAGGGATGACGCCTTGGATTCGAACACACTGAGGCTAGAAGCCCAGCTCCACCATTCCCATCTGGGTGATCCTGGGCAAGCTGATATCTGACCCTCAGTGTCCTCACCTTCTGGAGGGATCACTGAGGATGACAGAGGTGGAAACCCCCACACGGCTGGTTAGGCAGAGGAGAGACAAACATTGTCAGTTAACTAAAATGCCCAAAGTCCCTTGGCTTGAAATCATCGATGCCATTGTTAGAAGCATCCCTGCAAAGAGGCCACTTGTCCTCCTTAGTTACCTTTTGGATCCTTTTCTAGGGTTTAACCCTGAGGACAGGTGAGTGACCCGGGTGGTTCTCGCCCTTTTTTGAGGCTTCCAACACAATTGTGAGACATGAAACACTGCTCCAGTCCAAGCAGAACTCACTGTGTGGAGGTGGACGTGAGGAAACCTGTCTGAACGTGGGGGTTGGGGCGTGTGGAGTTAGAAAAGGCTCCCACCATCTCCAAGTTTCCTAAATGCTGCCCTAAGCCCCTCTTTGTATGAAAATTAGCCAAGCCCTGGCAGACTACCCAGAATGGATGTGAACAGACTGGTCAGAGACGGCAGTGGGGCAGGAATCGGGGCGAAGTGGACATGTAATGAGGTGCCAGGTGCATCCTTTCCATGGTCGTCTTAGACTTGCGGCTGAGGCCACAAAGCTGAGGCCCAAGGGTAGTACATAGACACCCATTCCAAACAGGAAGGGCTGCACCATCTATTGAGGACCAGAACAGGAGGTGCCCCCTCTGCCCCACCCTCATCCCATGTTGTCGCCCCTCCCCACCTCCAGCCTGCACGAGGAGTGGGCCAGAGAATGAGAGAAGTTTGCCCTGTGTGGATTTCTTTGAAGAGAGATGCAGGAGTGCTGAGCACAGCCTCCTCCTCTCCTGTAGGAGAAGAAAAGTCAGAGTTCCCTCCCCAGACAAGCAAGAAGGACTACCATGTAGAGAGCTTTATCTGAGCCCCCATGTTTGGGATATAAGGACTGGTGCCAGATTCTCCCCTGAAAAGTAGCTAAAGGACAAAACCTAGCTGGAGTGTCTGGGAGGGCAGAGTGGAGAGAGAGGGCTGGAGGGGGGACAGCCTACATTTCTGGAACTTCCAGGGACAGAAGATGCTGGCTTTTTCCCATCAACTGAATGTAGGTACCATGAAACGCTGGGTTTAGGTTGTCTAGAAAGGACCTCATCAAAGGCTGCTTGCCGGGGTTAGGTGATGTGTGGTGGGTACCCATGGAGTATGGGACTTGGGGGAGGGTCATAAAGAGATATGTAGCAGGAGACCCCAAATGAGGGGGAGGTTCTTAAGGACCACCCAAAGTGCCCCAGGAGAGGAGAATGCAGAACTTAGACATCTGCCAACCCAAGGTCAGCAACACCAGATCACCAGGGGCACCAAGCCCATGGAAACTCTCTGCCCAGTTACCTCTCCTCTCCCCTGCTCCACCCTGGAGCCCCCAGCAGTGGCAGAGGGAGGGGCCAGGTAGAGAACTGGGCTGTGAAGAAACCAGCCCCACCCTCTCTTCCTGCTACAGGTGTCTGAGGCCCCACTCTCCCAGTCTGGGAGAGGAGGAGAAACACTTTCAATTGGATGAGAGACTAAAATTTTTATGTCTGACGAGACTTTCTTTTTTTTTTTCCTAACTAGATTTTCTTTTTAATGTAGCATATCTATATGCAAAATCCTTCCAAGCAGGGGATCTATTCAGAAAAATGTAATATGAAATTAGTCATGAAGAGAATCAAAGAGTTGGTTTATCACTCGCTGAGGATCTAGGCCAGTGCTGTCCAATAGAATTTTCTATGACAATGGAAATGTTCTATTTCTGCGCTATCCAGTGCACAGGTACACAGATCTGATGGTGAAGTGACTCATGTCTTAGACGAATACCAAAAAGTACTGAAGGAAAACTAAAACTAAAGCTTCTAAAAGGACAGGCATTCCACCAATAAGGCTCTCCCTTTCTACACATACACCTTTTTTGGACTTTTCTTTTTAAAGATTTGTTTATGTATTCTAGAGAGAAAGAGAGCCCGGGAGGGGCAGAGGGAGAAGGTGGGAGAATCTCAAGCAGACTCCCCACTGAGCTCGGAACCCGATATGGGGCTCAATCTCACCACCCTGAGATCATGACCTGAGCTAATATCATGACCAGAGCCAAATTTAAGAGTCGGACGCTTAAGAGTTGGACTGAGCCACCCAGGTGCCCTTTCTTTGGACTTTTTGATACTTGAAAACAAGACTGCTCATTAACCTGCAACAAACAAGAAAACTGCCCAAGATGTCCTCTAGCCACAAGGCAGGGGCATCTAAAGGAGTTGAGGATGGGTGGTGTGGGGGGTGGGGATCAACCCCTCCCATGCTGGTGGGAAGAGAACAGGTATGTTCTAGCTGAATCCTTACTGGATCCAGTTTGTCCTCCAAACCCAGGTGCATGTGCGTCGCAACTAAGAAGTCTATGCTCCTTAGTTACCTGGGCTTGTGCAAATAAATCCTCTATGGACTTCAGTTTCCCCATCTGTAAAATAGGAATAATATGACCTGCCCGGCCTCCCTCAAATGAGTCAAGGTGAAAGACAGCCTTTCATGAACCTGTGCCTACAACTCTGAATCATGGTAACACATTCTGGCACTGTTTACTCATAAAAAAAAAAAAAAACTAGATTAGAGTGGTTTTGTTAAAAAAAACAAACAGCAGCTCCATAAATGTGTTACACCTCAGCCCCTCCAAGTTCTTGGCAGACAGCTAAGCCACGTATTTATAATGCAATCAGGAGCACTTTTGTATAATCACTCATCCCAAGCTGTACTTCCATACCTTTCCAGGGAACTTGGGGCAGGACAGGGAGTGGAAGATTAGAGGAGGGAAGATTCTGGGTGTTCCCCTGTCTCAGAGGAAGGGCATTCCAAGCTGCCTGGTCTACTCCCAGATACTTCTATAGCTCGTCCCCTCCCCTCTTTCGGGTGTCTGCCCAAAGCTCTCCCTCCTCCATAAAGCCTTCCCTGGCCTGCACAAAAGAGCCTATTTCTTTTTCTCCACAGCACTTACTATCTCACAGACTGAGTATTCGTTTAAATGTCTCCCTCCACCCACTAGACTACAAGCTTCATGAGATCAAGGAGTTGGTTTTGTGCCTACTTTATTCCCCAGCATCTAGCGAGTGTCTGCTATATAATAAAAGCTTAATTTACTGAATTAATGAAAGATGTCCCATCATCCTGACAGCTTATGAAATTTCAAGATAAATGGAAATAGTGCAAATCAACAGATTCAAAAATGCCCAGACTCACTTTGGGAGCTTTTAAAAGTTAGTTTATGAGGGATTTACTAAAATCACTTGTATTTTTCAATTTCTGTGTGATGCCCTCAAAATTTATTCTCATCAGCTCGACACGAGATATGGCAACAAAAAGTTTGTTGGTGCCTCTTGTTGCAAAAATGCAACACAAATTATATTTAGATGTTCAGAGGCTTCTTTTCTTCACTGAGCTGGGTTCTAGTGGAACTAAAATGCATAGGGGTACCCAATAAAATTCATCCTGGAATAAACTCTTAGTTATTAAATGGGCTCTGCTCTGAATGGAATAGAATAAATTCCCCCAGAGGGGAAATTATTCTTTGGGCTGCAATAACAGCAGGCCAGAGCAATATATAACCCCAGGGGCCAGATGAACCTCTGCCAAGGGCTGGAAGTTTCCCACCCCTGCTCAGTAGAGTCTGTTTTAGGATACCCCACCCTGCTCACACATACCTACGTAATTGGTCGTCCGTAGCTGTGCCCACACCGCTTCAAAACACCAACAATCTAGCCCAAACCCTTGCTCCTCCTGACCCGACTCAAAATTAATATTTGGGGAATGGGAGAGCATGTGCGTGTCTGTGTGTGTGCAACTCGTGTGTTATTTCACTTTGATAGTTTGCTTTGGCAAACTGCTCCCAGCTTGCAACGTTTTGACAGATTGAAGGCTACCAGGACCTTTGGCAAACAAATCACACTCTCCCCTCCAAGCGGCGGGGGAAGCCACATTCCTACCAAGACTTTCCGATTCACCTTGCAGTAGAAATGACCCAACATTTCACACACAGGGGAAAAAAAATGCCATCTCCCCAGTATTGTTCTAGATTTTAAACACTGCACCGTCTCATTTCCTCAGGTAGAAAATAACACACATTGAAATTTGGCACAAGATTTATAGCATGGAACTGGGGCTCTGCTCTGGGCTTCTGGATTGGCCTGGGTCAACCCCTCCCCACCCCCCACACCACCCATCCTCAACTCCGGGTGTGTGGGGGGATCACATCACAGCCACCATGTACCAGGGTTCATCTCAATAAACTCAACACGACTTGTGCA